AGAACACGGATCTCATCCAAAGCCTTCCAAAACCATCAGTGATGCCAACCAGCCTCGGCCTCTCTTGACAGTTCAAAGTTCCACCGCCACAACAGGTCAACAGCTCTCTGTCATGGTGAAGAACTGCTTCCCCCTTTTCAGAATCTCTTTTGAATTCTCATGGCCTCGAAAAGTTTTGCCTGTGCAATCATGCCTCTTGACTCCTTCTTCAGCTTGCATCCCTTACTTCGGTGTCACCGGGTTCTTTTTACACAGTCCGAGCAGCTGCATTGACAATCTGAAGTCGGACAATTCCGGCCTCCCCGGTCGCCTACGAGTTGAAGTTTGACAGACAACGTTGAACAGCCACGTTTCACGACAGGTGGTGACAGTTGACATTTTCCAAGACACGGAGATCAGATGACGACGACAAAATATCGATCATGTCCTGGTGCATGCACTTATGGACAAACATGGTGTTTGATGACAAACTGTGACTGTCCAATCAACACCACGGGTTCAGATCAGTTGATTCGTTCATCGTTGAAGTCCAGGAGAAAACGGAGGTCGGTGCACTGTCTCTCCACTCCAAACATGTCAGCAGTGAGAGATCATTTCACTGTCTGAGTCATCATCTGTACAACAGTCTGTTCAACTGTCAAAATGAGTCAAGAGCATAACACCATCAACACCATATATGTTTTTTTTTTTTAGGAAAATTTGATAAATTCATGACAGGAAATGTCAGTCAGGTGAAATTAGAACTTCCAGTCACACTATGTGATCGTGTGGAACAGTGTGAATGTCCACCATGTTCTTATCAGGGTCTGGTTCACTTCCATCTAAACACACTCATGGAGCTACTACCACCGTACTCTCCTTTCCTCAGTCTGATAGAGTTTTTTTCCTCTTGGAAGTGGAGAGTGTGTGAACATCAGGCCCCAGACCAGACGTCCCTGCTCCATGGACTGGATGCTGTGTGTGAGGACATCACAGGGAGGGGGTGGTTGAGACATTTGCATCATTTCTTTCCTCCCTCTGACGACTGCGACCAGTGAAAGTGTTACTGTAGAAACTTTATTTGCTTTATTTACAGCACTGTATGCTAGATATATTTTTTCTTTTTGTTTGTTTGTTTGTGTTTATATTTGGTACATGTGCAGAATACAGTGTACCTTTTCTTTTTCTGTACTCTGATGTGTGGAAATGATTTTCTATGTGTGTGTGTGTGTGTGTGTGTGTGTGTGTGCGTGTGTGCGTGTGTGTGTGTGCGTGAGTGAGGAACACGATTTGTTGTGACCAGTGCAGTTTTGGCAAAACTTCCAACAGTGAGTCATTGTGATGAGTTTTACTGTGAGTGGAGATGTGAGCCACACGGACGTTTATCTAAACACCACTGTAAATGTAAAAGGACACAGATAACGAGCGAGCCGCCGCATTCCAGAGTAAGAAGTGTGCGGCTCTTCTGGCTCTTTCTGACTCTGGCTCCCATTGCCTTACACTGGAACATTGTGGCTCGTCTCTCTGTACCTGCTGCTGTGAGCCTCAGCATTTGGGTCTTAAAATGTTCATATTAACCTGGGATTTTTTTTCAAAAAACTCACACTCACTTCTTTATACACTCTCTGCTCTCAACTTATTTCAAGTGCCACACTTTGAGAAACACTGTTTCATGTCATTGTGAAAAAATCCAAACTCCACTAAAAGAAATAAAAGGACATAAGAATGAAATATGCCACACTGATGTTGTCATTTTTTATTTATTTATTTATTTATTTATACATAATAACATTTCAAAATTTCGATACTCGGGAATCAGCTCAACCGAATATCGATTCCAATACCACAACGATAATGAAGAACTTTCTTTAGACAATGTACGGTGATTTTCCACATTAAATGGTAGAACTTTCTTTTCTATCCCATGTGTGTTATATGTGTGTAGTGGTCAGTGTGCAGTAGGTTCATGTTGGTCCATGTGTGTTATATGTGTGTAGTGGTCAGTGTGCAGTAGGTTCATGTTGGTCCATATGTGTCTCTCTTTCACTCTCCATCTCTGTCCCTCTTTCCCTCCTTCTCTCTCTCTCTCTCTCTCTCTCTCTCCTGCTCTTCACTTCCTTCCTTGTTCTTTCTGTCTCTGTCTTTCTCCATCTCCCTCCTTCTCTCAGTCCTCCCCTCTCTCCTCTCTCTTACTCTCTCCCTCTCTCCCCCCTTTCTTTGCGAAAATGAAAATGGTGTTTTCTTTTTGTATTCATCAGTGCAGAAGCCACAGACGTCACCTCATGTGCCACTTCACTCTGCCACAAACACAGACAGAGAGAACGAGAGACAGACAGAGAGACAGACAGAGAGACAGACAGACAGAGAGAACGAGAGACAGACAGACAGAGAGACAGACAGAGAGACAGACAGACAGACAGAGAGACAGACAGACAGAGAGACAGACAGAAGAGAGAACGAGAGACAGACAGACAGAGAGACAGACAGAGAGACAGACAGAGAGAACGAGAGACAGACAGACAGAGAGACAGACAGAGAGACAGACAGGAGAGACAGACAGACAGAGAGACAGACAGACAGAGACAGAGAGACAGACAGAGAAAGAGACAGAGAGAGAGACAGACAGACAGACAGACAGAGAGAGAGAGAGAGAGATTAAGAGAGAGGAGGAGAGAGGAGAGAGATGAGGAGAAACAGAGAGAGCAGACAGAGGAGAAGACGAAGGTGGAGAGAGAAACTGAACAAACAGACAAAAAGAAAGAGGGAGAAAACAACAGAAGTAGAAAGAAGGAGAGAGAGGATGGTAAGATGGGAGAGAGACAGACGGACAGAGAACGAGAGGAGAGAGAGAAAGAGAGGGAGTATGAAGAGGTTTTAGAGTCATCTATGTTTGAGACATTTAGCGATCTCTCCCGGACCCTATTCAAATCCTCCTTATGGTTAAATGTAAGATTCTGTACAAGGACAGAAATATATGAAAACATGTTACAAACTGTACACAACAATTCAACAAACCTGATGCCATGTGCAGTAGTTTTATTGGAGGCGCACACACTGGTTGTGTTGTAGTGCTCTGAAGGGGGAGTGACTTAGTGCAGAAAGCAAAGGGATGAATACATTGTTTGTGGTGAATATTTGATTTGAATGGTTTTATTGTTTGAAGACTGATGTGACCAAATTTTAAAAATTTACCTTTTTGTTGTTTTCATTTTCTGATCTCTGTGCAGCACTTTGGAAACTGCTTTGTTTGTAAAATGTGCTTTAGAATTAAAGTTGATTTGAATTTGAATATGAAAATCAGCTCCTCCTAGTCCGAGGCCATGGTTCTCGACCGGAAAAAGGTGGTTTGCCGCTCAGGTGGGTGGAGAGTCCTTGCCTCAAGTGGAGGAGTTCAAGTATCTCCGGGTCTTGTTCTCGAGTAAGGGGAGGATGGAGTGTGAGATTGACAGGTGGATCGGTGCAGCGTCGGCAGTGATGCAGTCGCTGTATTGGACTGTTGTGGTGAAGAGGGAGCAGAGCCTAAAGCTCTCAATTTACCATCAATGTACGTTCCTCCCCTCACCTCTGGTCATGAGCTCTGGGTAATGACCAAAAGAACAAGACTGCAGATACAAGCAGCCGATAAGAGTTTCCTCCGCAGGGTGGCTGGGCGCTCCCTTAGAGATAGGATGAGGAGCTCAGAGAAGCAGTAGAGGTGGCTCCGGCATATGTTCCAGATGCCTCCCAGACACCTCATTTCTGCGCATGTCCCACCGGGAGGAGGCCCTGAGGAAGACCCAGGATACGCTGGAGGGACTATGTCTCTCGGCTGGCCTGGGAACACCTCGGGGGGCAGCTGGAGGAAGTGTTCAGAGTAAAGGAAGTCTGGGAGTCCCTTCTTACTATTACTCAGACATGTGTGAATGAAACAAAACACAAATCCAGTTCTGTTTTTGAAGAGGTAACAACATTAAAGCATGACTTGAAGCTCACACAAGACCATTTTTTGTAAAGTAGAATCTTCAAAATGTCTGCTTATTATCTTTAGAATAATTTTGGTTTGTAGACATTCTAGAAAATCTTTCATGTAACACCTTTTCTTCTGTTTTGTTAGTTCATCTCATCAAGTGTTTCAAGAGTTTTTACAGACAGATGCAGTCAGACTGTGCAGAGTCTTTCATGTTTGTTTCTTTTGAAATGTACCACACCTTGAATAGTTGTAATTCCACATGTGAATCCCGAGGTCAAAGCACACACTGTATAAAGAAGTGTGACGTCACCCACAGCATTCAGCTCCACTCAGATGAAGCTCGTGATGTTAGCAGTTACACGGGCGAATGTGAAGCCAGTCTCTGTATTAGGAACAGGATTTTTAAAAATAATAATAAAAAAAAACTGTCTGCAGTCCATATCCATGTCTATCCATGCTGCAACAAAGAATAAACCTGCTTTTTATTTCGTAACACACAAGGCTTCAGAAATTATTCAAAAATAAAATTTCCACAAAACCACCTAACCTCCATTTTGTCTGTGTGTCAGATGCCCTTCTTCTCCCTCTATATTTTAGAATTTGGGACATTGAAACTCACATAAAAACAGACAGATTTGTGGATGTAATAGTGTTTTTTTTTTTTTTTTTTTTTTTTTTAAAAATGAGTGTAAATATGATGACAGGTTTACCTTCAGCATTACAACAGTGTCACGAGTCTCATTCTGTGACTCTGCACCTTTTACAATCGTGATTCAGAGTAAACAAACACACACTGAACATCTACACACAGTTTTAGATCACTGTTACACTATAACAGAGCAAAGAGCACCACTGCAAACTATTTACAATGAACTCCTTCTGTTTGTCAGATTTGTAAGACATGAAAAACACCTACATTTAAAAGTAAAACATAATGTACAGCGCATTTCAAAATAAAAGTCACAAATTTGATCCAAACTGTGGAGAAAAAAAGTTATGTTAGGTTTATCTAAACATTATAAACAAGAAGAAAGACAAGAGATTAATTCAGTTTTACTCGCGAGGAGAACGGGCAGAGAGTGGGCATCAAAACCAACAGTCTCTACACGTTCTGATGCCTCAAGGCCGCTCTCCTCTTTTTATTTCATGAGGAGGCCCTAGTTACAGAATGATAATTCTCAAGGGGAAGGGGAAACAGCAAAGACATAATAAGAAACTGATGCAGCTATGCATAGTATAAACACATAAAACATGATTAACAATCAGGAGGTGCCTTAGGTATGGACAGACACCATCATAACTCTTGCATGTGTGACAGTGGGAGTTGGCTTCATGTGAGGAATCATCTCGAGGTTCACTAGAGCGATAGGTCACTGCCAAAACACAGAGAGGTTATTCATTTTCATACAAGTGATTGGTACATTATAAATCAAAGAATTGTAGTACATAAATGGTTAACTCATAGGCCTAGAATATCACACAAGTATTTAGCAAATATGGGATAATAAAATTATTCTGACAAGTTATTATTTAAGTTTAGGGAAATGTGCAGTGTCTCCATAACAATATAACCCGACCCCAGCGTAGAGAGGCTGAGTGAACCTGGTCTGGACTCTGTGGAGGAGCCTCACGGTTCCACCAGAGACACTGTAAAACTCCAAAACCCCTGCACTGTGGTCCAGGTAAACCCCGATTCTGGACCCGACTGAACCTGAGAACTCGAACTCGGCTTTGTTAAACAGAAATGAGTAACTGGTTTCGTCAGAGTATAAGGCCCAGGATTTATCATTGTATCCAAATCCACATTCATCAGAGTCTCCTTTCCTCTGAATCTCTCTGTATGAAACTGCTGTAGAAACACCCCACATCCCGCTCCACTCCACCTCCCAGTAACAGCGGCCCTCCAGACTCTCTATGCTCAGGACCTGCTCCCTGTCACTGAACCTGTCTGGATGATCTGGATAACTCTGGTGCTCTCTCCTAAATGTCACTCTGTTTCCATCAGACAGAAGCACTTGTGTGTGAACTGAGTTTGGGTCCAGAGTGATTTCTGTAGAATATTGTAAGAAGTCCTCTCTGGAGCTAGATTCATCTGGCGGCGGTAAAACTTGGTACAGTCTCTGGTCCGATCCCTGGTGTGGTCTCTGGTCCGGGTTCTCATCAGAGCAGAAAACGACTTCTTGGTCGAGTTCTTTCTGCGCCATCTCTCCTGGATCACACTTTCACTTCGACATACACAAAGCTTAAGAGCCAGAGCGCTGTGGGAGGAGTCAGAGCGCGGTGGGAGGAGTCAAAGCGCCGTGGGACGAGCCAGAGCACTGTGGAGATTTGAGAAGGAAGCAAGAAGCAGCACATTTAAAGACACACACACCTTTTATTCTGTTTTCATGCTGTTCATTTTGCTTCTGCAGACTGCTCAGTGTGTCAGCTGGGTAGCCACAAGAGCAGCCAGCCACTCCGTTACCATGGGGAATTATCGTCTAATTCACTCAACATTCAATTTAAATAAATACATAAATAAAAATCCCTTGTAATCCTTTTTCTTCACCACCAGATGGAGCTGTTTCATTTGAATAACATTTCTTTTCAGCCTTTGGCATAAAAACTTGAGCTGTTAAAATAGAAATGTGTTTAGTGGTTTAATGTGAGTTTAAATTAGCTGGAAATCTCATGTAAGCCACATAGCACCATAAAAATCTAAGAACATCTGTGTTACAGGAAAAACAAAGCATATACTGGAGTGCAAATCTCTGCTGACTATAGTCTTCTTTAGTCATTCCAGATCTATTTTATTGTGTGGAAATGTGGGGAAATACACACAAAACCACCCTAAAGCCGAGTTTTATACCACAGAAAAGAGACCTGCGAACTGTGTACAAAGTGAAATTTATAAAACACACAAATCCACTCTTTTTAAAGGCAACAGTCTTCAAGTTATTTGATTGAGTCAAATATCAAACTGCTCTGATCATGTTTGAAACGAGGAGTAACTTACTGCCAAGCAACATTAGAAACACATTTATAAAGAAAGTCAAGGGGTTTATGGACAACAACTGGACAAATGAGTACGGCTGTAAGTGGAGAACATTTATGGACTGGACTTGGAGATAAATATAAAAATTTACAAATATTCATCTTAAAAAAATATGAATTGTTATTTAAAAGTAATTATTGATAATATATTATAAAGCTGCTTGTGTCTGTAATGTGTTTGTGTTTTGTTTGTGTTTTTTTCCATCTCATTTTTCTAATGTTTGTGAAGAGACAAGGCATTTAGTACAAGCTAGTCAGGTTATCTTGGTGTTTTTATTGTAGTTTTCACATATTTTCTGTATATTTGTGTTTGTAACTGTTTCTTCTATTTTGTTGACTTGTATGTGAATCACTTTGGTCAGCTGAAGTTGTTTTAAATGTGCTATATAAATAAACTTGAATTGAATTGAAGAGACAGTGTAATGTACTAGTCAGGCTGGCGCCACCTAGTGCCTCTGCTCAATTTCATTTGTCTCCAGTGACTAGATCAGGAATCAGAATACACTAGACGGTTCGCAAAATCCTCGGAAGTGCGAGTTCGAGCTCCAGCCAATCAGTGAAGAGCCAGACATTCTGTGTTGGCAACAATTCTCGAGAATGTTTGGTGAATTTTATCAAAGGGAAAGACGTTATTGCCCTTCTTCCTACGGGATTTGGGAAAAGCTTAACAGTTGTCCCTGTTAGCGGTGCATTACATACGTCATGACCAAATCGCAGCGATTGGTTAAATGAAAAAAAGTACCCACGTACCATCAAGCGAACGAATTCTAACACTGCAAGGTCAGATGGTTTCTAAGAAGTGAAACCGTCTGATGTATCAGGCTAATAATGTACACAGGTGTAGACTGAATGTCATGTTGGTGAAATATTGTCCATTGTAGAGGAAGGATTACAATAAGCTGCTCCTTTTTTCAACTTTTTTTTGTTCATTAAATGTGCATGTTTTGAAAGTATGGAGACTATATGTTGTGCTTTAATACATTTTAAAAACTGTTCAAATAAAGTATAACTAACTCTAACCAGAGTTATTTCCATTTTCAAGTGTCATTAATGTAAATAATATTAAAGGGCTCATATGACGCTGTTTTCTGATTTATGTCATAATAACCTGGTTAACATTAAACAGCTCCACTTTACATTTATTCAATTACAGGAGCTCAAAAATACCTAGAAAAACAGACATTCTGACTGTGAGCGGAGTCGCCTTTCCACACATCTGACCTGTAACTTGGTCTGGTTTGGTCTCCATGAAGATAGAAAGGTTCAGTTCCATACTGTCAAACATTCCAGACAAAGCAATAACATCTTTGTGGAGAAAAGCATTTGATGGACCCTCCACCTGAAAAGTTACACAATGCGCCTTTAAGAAGGATGGAAAAAATACTAAACGCTGCATTTGAGCTTCACAAAAGTATAATTTATAAAGGAATGTGTAATATTTAGATGAAGTGAAAAACGGTAGTGGGCTCAACTTTTCTTTGGATCTGGACTTTTCCTTTGTCAAAACCGGGCTCTGACATCACTCACATGTGTCCAAGACCTTTTGATTTGCCAAATGCTCCTTAGTTTTTCATATTCTGTGAAATTGTGCGACTAACCCCAGTTTTCCCTTTGAAATCACATTATGTTCCATTTCACATCTGCCTCCAGCCGCCTCGTTCCACAATTTAGAAGGTTTTGGTTTACACATTTTAAAGGCGCTGTATGTTTGCTTTACTATTTGTATTTTTTATAAGCGAAGTTCAAAGTTGTGGTTTGGAGAGGTTCTTGGTCCATGCAGCGTTGTTCAGTCCAATCAAGAGTACATGACCATATGGAAAATAGTCTGTTTACTGGAGACAAAATGGAGAAACACTGAACTAAATCCTGCAGGTAGATGAGGGCACGTAGCCTAGAAAGTAATTTACTGTAAATAGATTCTTTATACAGTGTGTGTGCAGTCGGTGTGTGGACGCCCTCTGCTGGTGTCCTGTCACAACTGCAGCCCTGTTTTGTTTTAAAGGTCCTATATTACTCAAAACTGATTCTTGTGAGAAGAAGGATCAGCTCTTCTAAGTCCGAGGCCATGGTTCTCGACCAGAAAAAGGTGGCTTGCCCTCTCCTGGTGGGTGGAGAGTCCCTGCCTCAAGTGGAGGAGTTCAAGTATCTCGGGGTCTTGTTCACGAGTGAGGGGAGGACGGAACGTGAGATTGACAGGCGGATTGGTGCAGCTTCGGCAGTGATGCGGTCGCTGTATCGGACCGTTGTGGTGTCGATTTACCGGTCAGTCTTCGTTCCTACTCTCACCTATGGTCATGAGCTCTGGGTAGTGACCGAAAGGATGATCGCGGATACAAGCGCTTGAAATGAGCTTCCTCCTCAGGGTGGCTGGGCGCTCCCTTAGAGATAGGGTGAGGAGCTCAGTCACACGGGAGGAGCTCGGAGTAGAGCCGCTGCTCCTCCACGTCGAGAGGAGCCAGTTGAGGTGGCTCGGGCATCTGTTCCGGATGCCTCCTGGGCGCCTCCCTCGGGAGGTGTTCCGGGCATGTCCCGCCGGGAGGAGGCCCCGGGGAAGACCCAGGACACGCTGGAGGGACTATGTCTCTCGACTGGCCTGGAAACGTCTCGGGGTTCCCCCGGAGGACCTGAAGGACGTGTCTGGGGTGAGGGAAGTCTGGGAGCCCCTGCTTAGGCTGCTGCCCCCGCGACCCGGCCCCGGATAAGCGGACGAAAATGGATGGATGGATGGATGGACTCTTGTGAGCTTTTTGCCATGTTATATTATTGTTGTTATTTCCTCACAAACAGACCTGGAGTTGTGTTTGGTTTCATTCACTCATTAGAACATGACAAGTTCACATGACTCAGACTTTTAAATAAATGTATAAATGAGCCAGTGTTTTGAACGGCTCTTTTATGAAATGAAAAGATCCAAAAGGTTCTTGTGTACAGCTCCATGCCTCTGCTCCCTTAGATGCCCTTCCAAGTCCATTTCCTCTGTGTCAGATGCCCTCCCATCCCTCTATATTTCAGAATTTGAGACATTGAATCTCACATAAAAAGAGACAGATTTCTGGGTTTATTAGTGTTTTTAAAATGACAGTGTAAATATGATGACAGGTTTACCTTCAACATTACAACAGCGTCACCAGTGTTTCTAATTCTGTGACTCTGCACCTTTTACAGTCATGAAGTCCACAAACACACACTGAACATCTACACACAGTTTTAGATCACAGTTACACTATCACAGAGCAAAGAGTCCTTAATAAACTCATCATGGTGAGTAATTACGATGCTCTGGATACAGAAGTGAGGAAGAACTTTGCACCACTGCAAACTGTTTACAATGAACTCCTTCTGTTTGTCACATTTTTAAAACGTGAAAAACACCTGCAAATATTTAAAAGTAAAAATCAGGTAACGTCTATCAAAATAAAAGTCACAAATTTGATCCAAACTGTGGAGAACAAAGTTATTATTTAAGTTTAGGGAAATGTGCAGTATCTCTATAACAGTATAACCCGACCCCAGCGTAGAGAGGCTGAGTGAACCTGGTCTGGACTCTGTGGAGGAGCCTCATGGTTCCACCAGAGACACTGTAAAACTCCAAAACCCCTGCACTGTGGTCCAGGTAAACCCCGATTCTGGACCCGACTGAACCTGAGAACTCAGACTTGACTTTGTTAAACAGAAACGAATAACTGGTTTGACTACAGTATAAGGCCCAGGATTTATCAGTGTGTCCAAATGCACAGTCATTAGAGCGTCCTTTTCTCTGAATCCTTCTGTATGAAACTGCTATATCAACACCCTTCCCACTCCACTCCACCTCCCAGTAACAGTGGCCCCCCAGACTCTCTCTGCTCAGGACCTGAAACCTGTAAATGAATCTGTCTGGATGATCTGGATAACTCTGGTGTTTCCTCATAACTGTGATTCTGTTTCCATCAGACAGAGACAGTCTGGTGTGAACAGAGTTTGGGTCCAGAGTGATTTCTGTAGAATATTGTAAGAAGTCCTCTCTGGAGCTGGATTCAGCTGGTGACAGTAAAACCTCTTCTGGACTCTGGTCTGGACTCTTGTCTGGACTCTGGTCTGGTCTGTGGTCTGGTCTCTGGTCTGGTCCGTGGTCTGGTCTCTGGTCTGGTCTCTGGTCTGGTCTCTGGTCTGGTCTCTGGTCTAGTCTCTGGTCTGTACTCTGGTCTGGTCTCTGGTCTGGTCTCTGGTCTGGTCTCTGGTCTGTACTCTGGTCTGGTCTCTGGTTTGGTCTCTGGTCTGGACTCAGAGTGAGCTGGAGTGTGTCTCTGAGTTTGGACACAGCTCTGGTCACTTCCTCAAAGAATCCCCAGTCTCCTGTGTGAGTGGTGTCTGACTCTGTGCTCTGTGTGTGTGGGGACAGTGAGGCATAGACCTGTATAAACTGGTTATGATCCTGGGTGAGGGCCAGTGTGTCCAGCTCAGAGAGGCTCCTCTTCAGCCCCCTCACGTCCTGCTGCAGTTGGTCCTGGAGCTCTTGGACTCGATTCAGTTGGGTCTGCTCCTGGGAGCGGATCTGCTGCTCCACTTCAGAGCGTCTTTTCTCCAGGAGAAGGGCCATGTCTCTGAAGCTGTCCCCGCTGCGCTGCACTGCTCTCTGGGCAGAGCGTCTGATGTCCTGGACCTCCTGTTGGAGTCTCTTCAGATTTGTCTCTTTGTGCTGGAGGCTCTGGAGAAGCAGGGCCCTCCTGGCCGGCAGCTCTGCCTGCCTCTGAGCCCTCTCTTAGGCACAGGACACGAGGTCATGGCCCTTGTGTTGCTCCACAAAGCAAAGGGAGCAGAGCACCTGCTGGTCTGTGCGGCAGAATAGATCTATCACTTTGTTGTGTTGAGAGCAGATGTTTTCCTGGAGCCTTTGAGACGGCGCCACCAGCTGGTGTTTCTGTAATACTGCAGCTTCATGATGAGGCTGTAGGTGGCTCTCACAGAATGACATCACACACTGCAGACAGGACTGGACAGCTCTCAGCTTCCTCCCAGTGCACACATCACAGGACACATCCTGAGGTCTGGCATAGCAGTGGTCAGCAGGGGGCGCTGTCCTCTTCATCTGCTCTACTAAACCTGCTAACATGATGTTTTTTACCAGGACAGGCCTGGGGCTGAAGGTCTGGCGACATTCAGGACAGCTGTAGAGCTTCTCCTGGTCCTCTTGGTCCCAGTGCTGTTGGACACAGTTCCTGCAGTAGCTGTGTCCACAGGGAATAGTCACAGGATCCTTCAGTAGATCCAAACACACGGAGCAGAAAAAGGCTTCTTGGTCGAGTTTCTGCGCCATCTTTCCTGGAACACACTTCCACTTCCACACCCACGAAACTTAAGAGTCAGAGTACTGTGGGAGGAGCCAGAGCGCTGTGGGAGGAGCCAGAGCACTGTGGGAGGAGCCAGAGCGCTGTGAAAATCTGAGGAGGAAGCAAGAAGCAGCACATTAAATGACACACACACCTTTTATTTTATTTCACATGAGACACTGTCAGCTGTTCACAGACACAACCACTGTGTCCAAAAAACGTCAGAGAATATTCAGAAACACTAAACCAGGACACATACATAAACCATGTGTCATAACTGTATGTTGTAAATACAGGATTCTATATAGGCTAAATAGTAATATAATACACTGGCTGTAATATCTGTATAATATCTGTAATATCTGTATAATATCTGTATAATATCTGTATCAGTATCTGTGTTATATTTGTATAATATATGTGTAATATCTCTGTAATATCTGTACAACACAACCAAACCACACAAACAACCCCAACAACATCAGCAAAATTACAATAAGAGGCTATGGTCACAAGCAGCTAAAGTTAGTGAGGGTTATTTATTTATTTAATTAGTTACTTAGTTATTATTTTTTATGTTTATTTGAACTCATCATTGAGCAGGAAGTGGTCTGAATCTTTGTTGCAGTCACAAGTATTTTATTTTATTGACAGTATACTGCACATAGGCCTATGTGCCTTATTTACAACTACAGCATATTTTTATTTTACATTTATTTTACCTTGAACTGTTGCTGGACAGTCAGTTCATGTGAAATTTAGTCAACTTTCCGGTGTCACACTCTGGTGGGGCACACTGTGGTTTTCTCCCATGATGCTTTGTGGTTGAAATTAGTTGAATCAGCTTCACTCTGTTTTTAACACATTGTGCAGCATGCAGAAGAGCAGGTTTGTTATGCTCTTAACCTTGTGGTTCACATGTGCTTCCAGTAATGGTGAGTCTATTTTACAATAATTGTACAGTTATTCTGTTGTCTATTATTCTGTAGTCTAGGTTGAACCCCCCCTCAAAAAGAATGTTTTTCTACTGTTTTTCTACTGCTAACCTACTCATTTGTTAAATAGAAATTAACAAAATGCTTCAAAAATGAATCATTTTTTTTCTGCTTCTTCTTACACCAATTTTTTCTCTCCAAACATCAGTACTTCATTTTAGACTTTGACAACTCATTTGTCCCAGTTTTATACCAGAAATGTCCCATGTGTCCCTATTTTGGACCAATTTGTGTTAAACCAGATCTAAACCAGGATTGACCAGGATTAACCAGGACTTAAACAGGATTTAAACAGGACTTAAACAGGACTAGGACTGAAACAGAGTCTGTCCTCTATCTGCTGTCCTGTTGCGTCTGTCCCCTAAAGTGTATCATTGTTGTCCAATATGAAGAGATGAAACTGGTCCAAGTCCCAGTCCAGTCAGGTTTAAGATGGGAGGTCCTGGGAGGTTCCAGCTGGTCATGAGACCATGAATCCTACATCTGACTTAAATCTGAAAGTTACAACCAGTCTACAGTAGACTCAGGCACCGGGCAGACTTAAGCCCTCTGTGCGGGACGCCAGGTGAAATTTTTCGGGCCCCGGGGCTGTGTCTGTGTGCCCACTGCTCTGGCTGTGATGGGTGGGGTCTCTTCCTCTCGTGAGGTTTAGGTGAAAGTTTCTAGTCGCTATGAGCCAGTGTGTGTGAATTAAAATAAGAGCCATAAGATACACACTGCAGCACTCGTTCCAGCTTAATGCTTCTTTCTTGCTTGGCAGAAGGGTCCTACTGAAGAGAAGACTGTTACTCCCTAAAAACTGTTCCTCAGATGCACTTTGCCTTGAAGTTGATCCCCCCATAACAGTACAACACACAGTTCTGTTGTTCTCCGTACATTAGCCTGAGCCTCACTGCTCAGGTAAAGTGATGGGGCTACACTGCTCAGGTACAGGGGTGGGACATCTCTGCTCTGGTAAAGAAGCGGGGCTTTTCTGTTCAGGTAAAGGGGCGGGGCTTTACTCCATCTCTTGTCTGTTCAGAGCTCAGGCTGGTGGGAGCGGCCAGTCGCTGTGCTGGGACTGTGGAGGTGAGACTCAGAGAAGAGTGGAGTCGGGTGGAGCCCTTTGGACGCTGGGACCTGGAGGCTACAGCTGCTGTGTGCAGAGCCCTGGACTGTGGCTCTGCTCTTTATGGAGAAAAGAGAGGTGGTTTTCCAGAGAGTCCTGTGTGGGAGGTCTCGTCTGTCTGTGTGAAGAAGTCTTCAGTGAGAGAATGTGTCTCTGGTTCTTCCTCTTCTTCCCGGGGTCTGGTGGTGGTGTGTTCAGGTAAAAGTCTGATCTTACATTTTTATGTCTCTCAAATGTTTTTTTTCTGGATCACACACACACACACACACACATGCACACACACACACACTGACCTGTCCAGTCATGTGTCTCCACAGACCTTCTGAATCGTCCAATCATCTCCGTGTCTGTGAGTGACGGGGAGTCTGAGCTCCAGCCTCAGGGGGTGCGGGTGCAGCTGGGCTCAAAGGTCAGAGTCAAATGCTCCATGGAGCCACAATACCCTGGAGGCTCCTTCCTGCTCCTCTCTCCCGCCGTGCCCCCCGCTCAAAACCACACCCTGCCTGCTGTCAATCACTCTGCCCACTTCCTCTTCTCTGACATTAGCCCCGCCCACAAAGGAAACTACACCTGTGTTTACCTCCTGCAGCTGTTCAACCGCAGCTTCTCCTCTAAGAGCCTCAGACTCCAGCTCTCTGTGGGAGGTACGGCCAGCTACAGACTCAGGTTTCAGTCCTGATCCTGATCCTGATCCTGATCTCAGTTCTGGTCTTAATCCTGGTCTTGGTCCCGGTCCTGGTCTGATCTGGGTTCTTTTGTGTTGCAGAGTCAGACTCAGACCTGATCATCAGAGTCGTGGTGATTCTTCTGTTGAAGCTCCTGTACATCCTCCCAATGTCCTACTACTACTGCAAGGTACAAACTTCAGACCAGGGGCCTCATTTATAAATACCGTTCCAAACAGGAAGTGAGCATGGGTGTGACTGGGCTCCATGGACTCTGGCTCCAGTTCAGTTTGTGTGTAAAATGCATTGCCCCTCTCTCTGTAACTGCTGCTGTCAGGCTCCTCATTCTGATCTGCAAATGTTGGTCTGAACCTGCTCTATAGTCCAATGAGATTCATTTGGTCTTCCGATATTCTATGTTATTAGGTTCTTTTTTTTCAGACCTAGAGTGTTATTTCATACCTGACAGTTTCGACTGCTCACTAGCGTCTTCCTCAGAGTCACGTGATGTTGCTGTGACGTGTCTGGTCAGCTGATTTAAACAGGTTTTGGCGCCGTCTTCCTACCGGTGGAGGCAGGACGACAGCGCCACCTGCAGTCCCACTTCCTCAGGACAGTGTGTTTACTCTCACACACCTGGGATGTCGGACTGCAGATATAGGTATGAAATAACACTTTAGGTCTGAAAAAAAGAACCTAATAACATTGAACCTGCTCTACATGATCCTGGGGTTGGACATTTTGTCCCAAATCCAGATCTAATTAATAACAGACCAACATTAATAACAGATGAGCCGCTATAACTGCTAGTCTCCATGAGCTTCATTTGGAGCTGAACGCTGTGGGTGACGTCACGCTTCCTCAGAACACTTCTTCAGTCCCTGGTCCTGCTTTTGTGACCTGTGGATGTGCTGTGTCCTGTTGTTTCAGGTCCGGGCCAGAAGGGGCGCCAGAGAGAGGACCTCAGAAGACCTGGACCCAGTTAGACCAGTTCAGATCCACCTGAGACCCGGACTTAGACCGGGTCAGATGTGAGACCCGGACTTAGACTGGGTCAGATGTGAGACCCGAATTTAAACTTTATCAGATGAGAGTCCTGGACTTAGACCGAGTCAGGTGTAGTCCTGGACTTAGACAGGGTCAGGTGTAGTCCTGGACTTAGACCGGGTCAGGTGTAGTCCTGGACTTAGACCGGGTCAGGTGTAGTCCTGGACATAGACCGGGTCAGGTGTAGTCCTGGACTTAGACCGGGTCAGGTGTAGTCCTGGACATAGACCGGGTCAGGTGTGAGACCCGAACTTAAACTTTATCAAATGTGAGTCCCGAACTTAGACCGAGTCAGGTGTGAGTCCCGGACTTAATCCGGGTCAGGTGTGAGTCCCGGACTTAGACCGAGTCAGATGTATTCCCGGACTTAGACCGGGTCAGGTGTGAGACCCGGACTTAGACCTGGTCAAGTGTGAGTCTCGAACTTCGACCGGGTCAGATGTGAAAACCCGGATTTAAACCAGGTTCCATGTGAGTCCCAGACTTAGACCGGGTCAGAAGTGAGTCTGGGATTTAGACCGAAGCCATAGTTTCATATAAGAAAGAGTGTCACTATAGAAATGTGCTAGTTGTTGCTATATTTAAATTTGACCAATAAAATGAACACATTGAATCAAACACACTCCTGTTTTAGTTTGTTGCCAAAGAAACTAAAGACCACATTGTCCCATTTCAAATTAAAGTTCTTCTGAAGATGTCCAGTGATGTATCTGCCCGAGTCGGTCCAGAACACTGTGGAGTTGGAGCAAATCCTTAGAAGATGCAAACAGTCTCTGGATGGTTTTTGCTAAAGGACCACTTCACATGAATGTCCCGCTTAAATGGAACCAGCGGGAGAATTATGGACCATTTGAAAACAAGTCTCTTTTACCTTGTTTGTTAGAAAGCATTTGTTGGGAATTGTCCAAATTCATTTCCAATTCAAATCACTCCCAAAACTTTCTAACATGACTGTGTATGTAGAGCAGTAGAGCCTCTCTCTGGAATAGTTTGTGAATATTATTGTTACAGTTTGTGTGTGAAGTAAAACAGATTTTCCCAGTTTCAGAGTCTACAGGACCAGGTCGGCCAGGCATCAAAAAGTATACATTTTATTTTGGTGAAACTGGAAATGTAGAAAAATGTCACAGTTCTGAGTATGACATTAGCTGCCCCCCACTGTGAAAAAGCTCGATCACAAAGAAGATCCGATTCTGTCCAGTTGGGAAAATAATGATTGATTTTTGTGTAAAATCTCTCTCCTGTTCCATATTCTGTACATCTGGGGTGAATATAACATGTATAGGTTAGATGTGTAGAGACGAGGGACCAGGCTAAAAGAGCTGGTGGAATAATGAGGAGGTTTGTCCACATTGTAATTACAACCAAATATGAAACTGAAGCTTCCAAACTGACAGAAACTGTGTGCACAGCACATGAACACGTTATGAATGTTAAGGATTTATCATTCTCATATATTTCCAAATAAAAGAAGCCTTCAGCATGTTATATGTTGTTTTTCAGTGGTCTCGTTTGATATTTATTTTTACAATTTTAGCAAATCACTAAACATGCCGCACCTGCCCCCAGTCTGCTCCACTCCACCTGATGTTCAGGCACAGCACACCTCCTGTTTAGAACTCCACACCTCGCACTTGTTCTAGTGCTAAGACTGAGGGCAAGATCAAGTTCTGAATCTGGATGTGGTGTTATTTTTAGCATTTTTAGCATTAACATTGCAGAATAGGACCAAAAGCCAAACGTTTTAAATGACAGAAATATGAGTTCTTGCTCTGAGTTTGTAGAAGTCCAGGAGGATCTGAACAGAGCATCTGAGCCAAGTCAAATATTATTGGAGATCTGTCAGATCTTCATAAAACCAGACTGTGGCTCATCTACATCATCTCAAACATGTTGATCTTCTGGTGTACAGCAGTAAAGTGACACTCTTATAGTCTTGTTTAAAGACACACTGGTGTCCAGTCGTGAATAGGTGCAGGTGACACTGGGTTCTTCTTTCAACACTTTCACTAAAGACCTGTGATAGGAATGGTGCAGATCAGAAACAGATTTAGAACATTCTGACCAAACCATCAGTGATTTAATGAGCTCTTCTTGTGTGAGTTGGCTGTCACCAAAATGCCTATCTGAGTTTTTACAGTTTACAGAGTCGATAAATGGAGAAACAGTGTCTGCAGTAAAGTCTGAATCATGGTTTTGTGTCAAAATTAAACCATAATTGAGAGTTTTTGCATCATCAGTGACGGGCCCAGTGAAGTTCAGCTGAGGATGGTACAGGCTTTAGAGCGATGGTGACTGTTATTTTGAAAGGTGGACTCATTTTAAAAACACATATACATTCAGAAATCTGTTTATGTGTGTTTCAGTGTTGCAAATTCTAAAATAGAGAACAATGGGAGGGCATCTGACACAGTAACTGACACAGGCGGGGGGTGTCGTGGAAATGATTTTTTATTTTTATTTGTTTACAAAGTTATGAAATAGAAAGCAGGTTTATTCTTTGTTGCAACATGAATCAAGATGGATATGGACTGCAGACAGTTTTTGTTTCACTGTTTTATTTGTATTATACAATCGTGTTCCTAATGTCTTTATAGAGTGTGTGCTTGTGCTTTGACCTCAGGATTCATGTGGAATTACAACTATTCAAGGTGTGGTACATTTCAAGGGAGACAAACCTGAAAGACTGCGCACATTCTGACTGCATCTGTCTGTAAATACTCTTGACAGACCTGAGAAGATGAACTAACAAGATGGAAGAAAAGGTGTTACATGAAAGGTTTTTTAGAATGTCCACAAACCAAAATTATTCTTTTCTTCCGCTTTATCCGAGGCTGGGTTGCGGGGGCATAACATCCTTTAGATGTTGACTTAAGATACTCAGTACGGATCTCACCCACCCCTGGAGCCTTACCACCAAGGAGCTTGCAAACCACCTCAGCGACTTCAGCCAGGGTGATGGATGAGTCTGCCTCCGAGTCCCCAGCCTCTGCTTCCTCCTCAGAAGACGTGACGGTGGGACTGAGGAGATCCTCACAGTATTCCTTTCACTGTCCAACAACATCCTCAGTCGAGGTCAACAGCACTCCCCCCGCATTGTAAGCAGTGCTGGTGAAGCACTGCTTTCCCCGCCTGAGGCGTTGGATGGTTTCCCAGAATTTCTTTGAAGCCGTCTGATAATCCTCCTCCGTGGCCTCTCCGATTTCTTGAAGTTTACCCCAAGTTTTTGCCTCTCCGACTGCACAGGCTGCAGCAAGCTCCACATGTCAGTACCTGTCAGCTGCCTCAAGGATCCCAGGAGCCAACATGGCTCGATAGGACTCCTTCTTCAGCATGACGGCATCCTTTACTCAGGGACTGCCATCACGACAGGCACCAGAGACCTTGCGACCACAGCTACGAGCATCAGCAGCAGTGATAATGAAGGTAGAGAACATGGTCCACTCGGACTCCGTGTCCCCAGTCTCCCCTGTGATCTGGGAGGCTCTCCCAGAGGTGTGAGTTGAAGGTGTCAGAGACAGAGTGCTCTGCCAGATGTTCCCAACACACCCTCATGATATGCTTGAAGTCCCCCAGTAGAGTCCCTGGTCGGTGCATTGACTAGTACCCCTCCCAGGGACTCCAAGAAGGCCTGGTACTCTGCACTGCTGTTCGGCCTGTAAGCCGACACCACAGTGAGAGACCTGTCCCCGACCCGAAGGCTGTCTGGATGATCTGGATAACTCTGGTGTTCTCACATAAATGTCACTCTGTTTCCATCAGACAGAGACAGTTTGGTGTGAGCTGAGTTTGGGTTCAGAGTGATTTCTGTAGAATATTGTAAGAAAGCGTCTCTGAAGCTGGTCTCTGCTCTGTTTCATCCTCATGAGGTCTGTGAGCGGCTGCTTCATGTTGGAGAGGACCGGCTGTGTGGAGGGTCCGCGGCCGGGTGGAGAGGAGCGGAGAGCGGGTAGGAGAGAGGGTGCAGACGCCGGGGATGTGTGGAGAGGAGAGAGGGAGGGACGAGCGGAGGAGCGGTGGTACAGACAGCGGAGGAGAAAGGCAGAGGAGAGGGGCGTACCATCCCGAGCGGGAGACGGGGGGAGGGCTCCCGCGGAGAGGGCACAGTGGTTCAGTCCAGATGTGGCCGGCAGACGGAGGGGTTTGATGGAGCTCTGGAGGAATCATAGACTGTCCTTATAAAGAAATATATTATTCTTGATACAGTCTGTTCGAGGAAAGCAGGAGCAGGGCTTCTGTTTTACACCTGGGTTAGACCCGGTTTAATCCTCGTTTAATCCTAGTTTAATCCTAGTTTAGTCCTAGTTTAGTTTCTTGGTGTGATCATGTCAAGATGTGATTTATGTACAGTGGAGTTTACATTCTTGCACCATCCTCGGCACTGAACAGTAAAGTCTGCAGAAGGTTGCATGGTGGTGTTTTAAAAGGCTACAATACAAACTTCACTTCCATGTCTTGATGTGACACCTGGAACAGCATGTTTCCTTGTGACACCCATTGGACAATGTACCACTGTTATTAAATGCTTTGATTGTGCTGTGTCCCTTTGAGGGCCTCGCGCACCTGACCAAAACTGCTGATGATCAGTTAGGTCATATAATGATCTGATATGATCTATAATAATCTGATATGATCTGATATGTGTAATAATGTTAAATGAACGCAAAGTCATAAAAAGTGTTTGGTACCACAGCGACACATGGAGGTCAGGTTCATGACTCACTTGTCACATCAGCACATGAACGTTAGAAGAAGAGTGCGCTCATGTTCACATTTCCTTATGAACTCATTGCCTCTTGATAGTTCACTTTCCATCATGTCACGCATGCACACACGTAAGTATAGGATGACCAGATTTTCAAAATCAAAAGCTGGAACATCCCTGGTTTGTGGTGGTTGGTAATAATACATTTGTGAAACGAGTGTGTAATTAAATGAGAATTGTTCTGCACTCGGCCCATTCATTCATGATGATGAATGTGTCAGTACAGTCACGTTGTCTTTGTGTTTTGGTCATTTTTAAGCAGCTTTTCTGTATTTTACCAAAACAAGTGACAATTTATGTGTCTCTTTACTGTTGTCAGGGCTCAAATTGGTCAAAAATAGGGACAATTATACAATTTCTTGTATAAAACTGGGACAAATCAGTGGTTTTGTATAAATGTGCTGGGACAGGGGACACAGGGCTCAGAACTGGGACTATCTACAGGAAATATGGACATTTGGTCACGCTAAGTAGCTGTGTATTAAGTATGCATGACCCCCAGGTGCTGTTACAGTTTAAATGCATCGTTTTGAGCTCCTGAGGCAGAAGTGGAGTAACAAGTAACATGTTAAAACTGTATTGGTTTTATTGTATGTTTTGACCAGTTAAATATCGACATGTGCTGTTAGATTTGCATTAGAAAATCTACGTTAGATGATTGAATATTTTGGTTTTCTATTTGATTTTATCATTATCATTTTCATTACATCATATTTTATTTTGTTTTCAGGTGTAGAAAACCTTGTAACTTTGTTTAGAAAGGCATTGTAAAGCCTAAATAAAATATATCACTATATTATAATAGGACATTCACACTGTAGCCTCTGATATTAAGCACCTGGGTGATTATTAAACACCTGGGTCAGCTGACTGTTTATGAGGTGTAGATTATTGTTCAAGTTGGTTCAAAGGACGCTATAATTACACTATGATTAGACTGACCTGACTGTCTATGGCCCCGGTCAAGCAGAAGTAAACAACAAGGCCAAAAATTCAAGTGAATGCATCTGATATAAAAATGTATTGAACAGATACATATGTACTCTAGTTTATGAAACTGTTGACCTTTTTTCTGTACCATTTTTGGTTCTAAAGTTCCATATGTTTTAAACAGACCATGTATGAAACATGGAACAAAAATTATTTCCCAAATTTCAAAGACCTGAAAATCATGTCAATAAATGGATGTATTTCATCATATCTTGTGTTATTCCATCTTTGAACTGTTGATGAAGGGACATGATTTAAAAAAAAAAAAAAAAGTATTTAAAATGATAAAAATTTGCTTGGAAGGACTGACATATTTTATAGAAATAGTTTCCTTTCATTTTGAAGTAATATTAAAGTATTCAGAAGAAAAAAGTTGACAAATGATGTAAAATCCTGCACCTTCTACTTGTTTGTACAATTTTCCCTCCGTTACCATGACCTTTCTTAATAAAAAATCTCATGAGTCAAAAAGTAAGAGGTTTTTCAACCTAATCTTGTACCATATGGTAGAAAACTATATGAAGCAAATATTCAAACCAGTTTGTTAAGGATATGGAAGTGAGAACCAAGAGTTATCACTGTTTGGATTTATTGCCCAAAAAGTGCTGCATATTTCATTCTCTCCGTTACCGACATGAGTTTTTAAATTTTTTGTCAGCAACTTGAAAGAATATCACAGGTTTAACTTGACCCTGTTGGAGTGTAACTCTTTCCTACATTCTGATACTTTACTTATTTCAATAGTCCCTCTAGTTTCTCAATAAGAGCTATTTGAATGTCAAAAATCTGCCTGTTTCCCTCCGTTACTGCTTTACCAGACCCCTATGTTAACAATCCCTGTTGCCTAACTCGGCCTACACTTGTATGAGTTAGTTCTATGTTTCGAGTAGAATAGGTTTAGAAAACTAAAGACCTTACTGTAAAAATACCTACATAATCTTATTTTTACTGTCTGGATGTGGATTTTACAAAAAAAATTTTATTTTATGTTTTACGGTTTTTAATAGAAGCATGATTTAGGCTGCTGGTAGCTCATTTCGACGGGGCAGCCCATTCTGACAGAACACCGGTGTGCGTGCGCCCTCTGCCGGTGCCCTGACACAGCTCCGCGCCTCTGCTCCTCTGCTCCGCGCTGGGACTGGTTCTTTCGCAGCCATTTTCTGTCCAACCACCGAGTCTCAGCGAACTCAGCCGGACGCAGCGAGCCAACCAGGATCCCATCATCCGCAGGTTTGTGCGCGGCTGCGGCCAATGATCGCTCCCCGGTGCGCCCTTCGCTCGAATGGAAATGTCCGAAGTGGCTCCGGGTTTTATTAGTTGTGGCGGTGAATGAGCACAGTTGGTTTGGACGCGAGCATCAAGGCAAACTTTGAAAATAACCCGATTTTGACACGCAGCGCCGTAGCTTTCCTTTAGCACAAAAGAACAGGCCCGAGCCTCGCCAAAGTGGATTTAACAAAGGAAATTGGTGCACACTGCGATACGAGCTTGAAAATAATGTTAATAACAGGTAAAAACGTGTCGGATATCGGTTTGGTAAACATTCTGTAGCAGAAAACTTGAGTCAGTCCACTGCAGCTTGCACATTTTGGTGAATAGTGCAGTGTTAGCTAGCAGCTGTTAGCTTTGCCATCACGACTGCAGCTTTTTCAACGGAGGAGCTCAATTAATGTCCACGTTGCACGTTTTAACCCTAAAACAATTCATCCTGAGAGATGCAGCGTTGCAAGTAGTTTTATTTATTAATCGTAAGCTTCAAAATGGCGTAATGTAGCTTGGCACATTGCGTTTACCAAATGAAGGAGCCATGCGTAAAACCGTGCCTTGTATTTTTGTGAAAGTAAAACCTGGATGTAAAAGTAAAAAGGTGCAGATTTGATTAAAATTAATTTAGGTAATGTGTACTGTTTGGCAAATCAGCTGATTCAAGGTCTTGGGAAAAGCGTTCGGAATAATACATTCTTTCCCAGTCCCATCAAAATGATAATATTCTGTAGTCTGTTGTAATCCAGTGTTTCCCATGTATTCTGTGGAGACTGTGGTGGCTCAAAAAATTATTTAAATAATTTCATTTCATACAATTTGTACAGTATGAATTACTTTTATTGTCTATATTTAATAGTGGAGTGACCAGAAGTCCCTGTTTACCGGGGACAGTCCCAGTTTTGATCCTGTGTCCCCTGTCCCTGCAGATTTATACAAAACCACTGATTTGTCCCTGTTATAGACAAGAAATGTCCCTGGTGTCCCTATTTGGACCAATCTGATCCTGCCAACAGTAAAGAGAGACATAAATTGTCATTTGTTTAGGAAAAAAATCTGCTTAAAAATTACCAAAACACAAAGAAAATGTGACTGTACTGACTCATATGTTAGTCATGAATGGGCTGATTGCAGAACAGTTTTCCTTACACACTCATTTCACAATTATATTATTAGCAACCACCAAAAAAACAGATGTTCCTGTTTTAAATTTTGGTCATCTTGTTTAATAGGGACGGGATAAGGCACAATTTCCACAAGATGAGACACAAGATTAGACCCACAAATACAAGACAAGATGAGATTTTGAAATAACTATGGAATCCCGTTTGCAGTTTTGTCGTTTTCTAATTTAATATTTTTATTGTTGTAGTAGTAGTAGTAGTAGTAGTAGTAGTAGTAGTAGTAGAGATATCATTTACTGGTCCTGAAGTCTTTTTGCCCAGTCTAGATGTAAACTAAACGGAAAACAATTTCACAAGATAATTTTCCTCGTGTGTGCATTTTCTGACATGAGATCTTGTCCCATCCTTAATATTTAACCTTAAAGCTGTTGTGTTTGCCCAGTTTAGTTACTTTTAAATGTCCATGATGAGACATTAGGCAACAAAGTGTGCACTATAGTCTCCTCTGTTAATAAAAAACTCTGTAAAAGATATAAAATATTCGCAATAAGAGCAGATTAAAAATGAAAATAAATGAAACTTGTGGTGTATGCTTTTAAACACGGCTGTAAAGGGATTTTCCTGAGCTGTCCTTTAGTTGGTTAGTCGAATAATGATGATTCCTATGTATTTGTTAATTAGAATTTCTACGGGACAACAGTAAGAAGAGAAGTGAGTGTGTGTGTTGAAGATTTAGTATTTATATGTAAAAGTAAGGATGCGCCTGCACGATGCATGTGTCTGATATCTGCGCCAATCTTGAAAAAATGAGCTGTTTCCAGCTATAGGGATGTAACAATATTGAAATCCATCAATACGATATTTTTACAATATGCACGGTTCAATGTTTATTGTAATATCTAGTGAATAGCTCATTAAAACCTGTTTTTGTTCAGTAGATGGACGCAGACAACTCCACCACAGACGCCTCTCAGCTGGGCATCGCCGGAGAGTACGGCCACTATGTCCTCCAGTCACAGGACGGTAAGGAGCAGGTCCTGTTTCCTGGTGCTCGAGCTCTGCAGTTGATCTCATTTTAATTGAGATTTATTTGAAGTTCAGTCCTGGGGCTCAGTGGCTCAGTGGTTACAACAGGGGTCTGGGCAGTGGTCCCTCAACCCGAAGGTCAGAGGATCAATTTCCACTCTGACCTAGTTCTGTTGTTGTGTTCTTAGGCAAGACATTTCATCCACATTCTGTATGAATATGGTTTTGATAGTGCAGATTGGTAGTCCTGTAGTATCTTACCACCACCGAGTGAGGAGTGAATTAATATAGAATATTAGTCATCCATACTCATTGTTTAAGTGTGTGTTTTCAAGGTATGTGTGTGTTTTAGCAATTAAAACAGCTGTAATTTAATGACATGTTTTAAATTGTAAAATAAATTAATAAATAATACCAGGCAAAGCAATAACATTTCCATGGAGAAAGGCAGGTGGTGTACTTTCCTCCAGAAATGTTACACAGATACAAAACAGCAGACCTATTCTGCAAAATAGACTTTTTAGAGCTTTTAACCATGTTACAGTTGTTTCCCCAGAATTGTATTCGGAGTGATTCATGTTTGAGGGTTAGGGAGACAAAAAACCCTCTGCTCTAGTGTGACGTGCAGTTCTCCATTGGAGGGGCCCACAGCATGTGACGCTTTGTTGTCATGACGTTTACGGCCACATCAGCTCCCACTGGACACCACACTTTTCTAACACAGAACTCAGTGCACTTGTTTCTTTTATTAAATCATTTTAGATCAATGTTGTGTTTTTAAAATGTCCAAATTGTAACAGAATGATGAGAACTATAGAGCATACGCAAGCACTATAGAACAGATTTAAAGATTATATTATTATAATAATAAAATATGGGAATCTGCCATGTGTTTATCAGTTTTAGTTAAATATTTTTTCTGTTTTTTGTTTTTCCAGACGAGGGTGAGGAAGGTCTGAACGACCACGATGACAGTGGGATCAAAGAGAACTTCAGAGAGCAGGATATTTACCTGCCCATCGCCAACGTGGCACGAATCATGAAGAACGCCGTGCCGACCACCGGAAAGGTACAGACTCTGACACCGGCCAAAACGACCTGAGCCCAGTGCTGTTTACAGATCCTGTGTAATGCAAAATCAAGTTGTGTTTGTTTCATTCACATGTTTGAGTAACTCTTTATAATCAGTCTGTCTACATCTCCAAAGCTCAAAATGCTCTGTTCCACCTTGTGATGTCATGAAGAGGTTGTTTTCAAGTGAACAGCTCCTTTTACCTTTAGTTTAGTAGAAATTATTCTAACAAAGCTGCATGGGGTTTAAAAACACAGTGGAGCACTTCCTGTCCAGAGTGTTTTCTGTTTGAGAGAAGAACTCAGCCTAAATGTGCAGGTTTGTGTGTTAAACATGTGAAGGAAACAAAACACAAGTCCAGGTCTGTGTGTGATGAGGAAACTACATTAGAACACAGATCAGAAAATAGCATAATATGGGCCCTTTAAACTGTCGTATCATTCAAACACACAAGGTGCACTATGTAACTTTTTCATGCGTGTCTCCATGGAAATTAGGGCTACAATATGAATCGAATAGGCCCGTCACAATAACAAATTTTGAAGCACGATACGGTGCTACAGAGAAATATTGAGTTAAATGAGAATTTTCAAAGACCTGGTCCAGTCCTGGTCCAGTGCTGGTCCAGTGCTGGTCTAGTGTTGGTTTAGTCCTGGTCCAGTCCTGGTCCAGTCCTAGTTTAGTCCTAGTTTAGTCCTAGTTTAGTCCTAGTTTAGTCCTGGTTTAGTCCTGGGTTAGTCCTGGGTTAGTCCTGGTTTAATCCTGGGTTAGTCCTGTGGATTGGGGTGTGTATATATTTATACTCCGCTAATGTTTGTGGCTCCCTGCCCCGGTTCCCGGATCTTTGGCTTTCTTCTCCTTTTTCCGGATAATAACATTGTTATGTCACTGGATAGTTGTCCCTGATTGGTTGATGCAGTGTGTCCGACGCCAAAAGTTCAGCTTTTTCAACTTCTGACTCTAACTCCCTGGACGCGTGTCAAGAGCTGCAGAGAGACAAGGAGAGGGACAGTTTTAGTCAGATAATTTAAATAATAAAAATGTAAACAAAAAAGTAAATGAATTACATCACCACATAAAATACATTCACAACACAATATATAAAAATGAAGCCAATTAAAAACCATGTGTCCAGAATTGTGAATTGATCCGATTATTGTAAATATTTCAAAATCTTGTCTTGTCTTGTGGACCCCATCTCTTTTCTTGTCTCATTTCATGAAAGTTCTTTCGTCCCACCCGTAATAGTTAGCCTTAGAAAATACTTACTGTACCCTCTGCAGCTCAAATCTGACAGTGCTGCATAAAAATCACACTAACAAATAGAATTGATACTTAATGCCAATTCCGATTCTACAATGATAATAAAAATATACTGTGATTTTCCACATTAAATGGTAGTACTTTCTTTTCTATAGTTGTCCAGGTCTAAACCAGGTCTAAACCAGGTCTAAACCAGGTCCATGAGTGTATATTAGTCTCTTATATTTGTTCTGATCCAGTTCCAGATGGTTCTAAACACATTCAGGAAAGGTTCTGCTCTGTTCTGTCAATTGGACTTTTTTTTTGTATCAAAACCTGGAAAAAATGACCATCTAGTTTCGATACTACTTTTTTTCAATGATTTTTACATGCCCTCTGTAGACTGACTTTGAATTTGGTTGTTTTTCATTTCCCCGTGCATCTAAACCTCTAAATTTGTGTGTCTTTGTGTGACAGATCGCTAAAGATGCTAAAGAGTGTGTTCAGGAGTGTGTGAGCGAGTTCATCAGCTTCATCACCTCAGAGGCGTCAGAGCGATGTCATCAGGAGAAGAGGAAGACCATAAACGGAGAGGACATCCTGTTCGCCATGTCCACGCTGGGGTTCGACATGTACGTGGAGCCGCTCAAACTCTACCTGCAGAAGTTCAGAGAGGTACGGAGCCGAGTCTGATTACTGATTCTGATCATAAACCTGGACACCTGGAGTTTTGTTTCATTCACACATGTTTAACACACAAACCCTGTAAATATTAGGCTGAGTTTTCCTCTCAAACAGAAAATGCTCCTGTTTTCCACTTTGTGATGTCACGTGGCAATGCAGGAAAAGTGCACCACTATGTTTTTAAACTCCGTACACCTGCGCTAGAATCATTTGGATAATTTCATCTATGGAATTGTCGGTCTACTGAACTAGAGGTTAAATGTAGTGGTATACTTGAAAACTACCACCTCATGACGTCACGCAGAGCAGAGCTTTTGGAGCACTTTGAGCTTTGGAGATGTAGACAGACTAATAATAAAGAGTTACTCAAATGTGTGAATGAAACAAAACACAACTCCAGGTCTGTTTGTAAGGAGGGAAGATTTGAACACGGGTAAGAGCTCACAAGAGTCAAATCTGCTTAAAATAGAACCTTTAAAAAAAATTAAAAGCAGAACTAGTTCATTGTAAACAGTTTACAGTGGTGCAAAGTTCTTCGTCACTGCATTCAGAGCGTCCTCATTACTCACCATGATGAGTTTAGAAAAGCTTTTCACAACTTTCAGAGACCAGAGTTTTTCCGTTACAATAAAGCAAATGAATAGTAAACAACGAGCATGCTAACAGCGCACTTTCTGATTCTCTGACAAAAACAGCTAATTGTATAATTAGATGCAGACAGTACACAGAGAAATGATTTTGACCTCAAGAGCTGCTTATAACAGCTCTGTACTGGGGCAAGTCACATTGAGCTCTAATACATGGAGCAAAATCGACTACAGGGCCTTTAAAATTTGGACTTTGGACCACTGCAAACTGTTTGAAATGTTTGGTTTTTTTTGTTTTAAGGCATTGAAACTCAGTGTGTGGAGTGTGTGAAGCTGTGTTTGTGATTGTGATGCTGTGCTCTCAGGCGCTGAAAGGAGAGAAGGGGATGCCTGGAGTCACTCTGGGAGACGGAGTGGGAGACGAACTGGCCGACGAGAGCTTCTGTGAGTATCTGTGTGTTAATGAAACAAAACACAACTTCAGATCTGTTTGTGACGAGGAAACAACATTAGAACACCTTTTAATGAAGTCACTGTGTTTTCAGCGACCCCTCTCCCCGCCGGCATCATCACCTCAGACGGACAGCAGCAGAACGTCATGGTCTACACCACCTCCTACCAACAGGTACCTACAGACCGGCACTAAAACAGGACTGGAGCAGAACTAACACAGGACTAAAGCACAACTTGACGGTCTGGACCAAGACTGAACCGGGGACTGAACCGGGGACTGAACCAGGACACTAAACTGGGACAAAACAGGGACTGGACCGGGTCTGGATCAGATCTAAGCCAGGTCTAAACCGGAGCTGGACCGGGACTAAGTGACAGAACTTAATTGACCAATAACTGTGGTGGCAATTTCTTGTCAGCAAACAACAAGCTGCACTTTGTAATTTTTCTGGTCTGGGGGTCCATCACTGTTTGTTTCTATGGTTATTGCTTCCCTGGAATATTCCACAGTATAAACTTTAAATGTATTTACTTGTACTTGTTTACAAGCAAAAAAAAAAATTCTTGAGAAACATGCGCTCTTACTGTGAGTGGGCTCATATCTTCACAGATCTGACCTGTTGGTGTAGTGGTTAGTGGTGATGTTGTTAATTTGACTAGAGTTTTCCACAATACAGCAGTAAGTCCATCTATCTCCATGTTAAAAACAATGTTCCACGTTATGACATTAAACAACTGTACTTTACATTTGTTCAGTTGCAAGTGGTTTTAAAGCTCTAAAATACCTAGAAAATCAGACATTGTGACTGTGAGGGGGGGTCGCCTCTCCACGGATCTGACTTGTAACTTGGTCTGGTTTGGTCTCCATGAAGAGAGAAAGGTTTAATACTAGAGCCCGACCGATATATCGGTTGGCCGATATTACCAGCCGATACGAGCAATCGGGAGCATATCGGCTATCGGCCGATATACTTGCTGATAGGGGCCGATATTTCCCGTGGGCATGTTATACCTCGTTATAAAGCTTAGACTCTCTACATTCTGTTCATTTAATCCAATTTACAGACAGATAAATGTCCAAATATGTGGCTCCGCATCAGTATTTATCTACGGAGTCATTTGTCAGTGTGTGTGTCGTACTGTCCCTGAACACACCACAGGGTCACGTGTTCATGTTTACACCCGCAGACACAGAGCCATGTGCAACACTTAGATTATTTTCTTTTTACGGACAATCGGTTTGAGTCTGGATTAAAAGGACATTTATTAGTGCAGACTTGTGATGTGAGGAGGAGCCTGTGTGAGCGGTGAGTGTTGGAAATATGTCGACTTTGAAGCTAGTTTTGATCATTTGTTTATAGGTTAGCGATTAGCTGCTGTAACTCCCGCACATAAACAGGCTGTTTTCTATTGGTGGTCTATTGTAAAGTGGCTATATTGGCTGCATATTTGTTACTGGACCTGCATTGATATGTAAATGAGCTGTGAACAGACGTGTGAACGATTTAATTTGCGCATATAATTAATTACCGCGGTGCGCAGCATTTACGGCTAAAGGCTAATAGCGATTGTTTATTTACTCGTGATGGGTCGGTCGCGAATGAAACGGTTCTTAGATCCGGCTCTTTGAAGCGAACGAGGGGAGCCTGATCCTTATTGGGATTGGGAGCTGTGTTTTCTCCTTCGCTCACTTTTTTTTTCTCTTCACGTCGCGTGCAGACTCGTGGTAGTTTGACAGCGGCAACGGCTAAAAACGAAATTTTCAAAAATCTGCGTGTGCATAGGAGAGAAAAAACGTGCATAAATATATTCAGCATAAAATAAATAAACCAGGACTAATCTCGGGGTCGAGAGAGGGAGAGAGATAGAGACCGAGTCCCTACACTCAGTCCTGGTTAAGTTCTGGTTTAGTCCTGTTTTTACACATGGTTTAGATCTGTTTTAGTCCTGGTTTAGTCCTTTTTCAGTCCTGGTTCAGTCCTGGTTTAGACCTGCTTTAGTCCTATGACATATCATGTAAAGAGGCAGAATAACAATAAATGTTGCCTAAATAAACCCAGTTTAAAAACCACCAGAGCCAAACCTAAGTTTTTTTAAAAACAATTCAAGATTTACAGTGAATTTTTACATCACTAAATATATCGGCGATTATATCGGCTATCGGCAGCAACAACTCCCAGTATATCGGTTTCATATCGGCAACAACAAAATCCATATCGGTCGGGCTCTATTTAATACCATACTGTGGAACATTCCAGCAAAACAATAATATCTCCATGGAGAAAACATTTGTCAGAGCTTTAAAAGGTGCGTTGTGTAGTTTTCTGCTGGAGAGTCTGATATCTAATGTTATAATTTTTTGAGGGTGTTTTTTTTTTTTTTCTACTTTTTAACTTTTTATTTATTTATTTATTTTTTTCCAGATCCCCACTGTGCAGCAGATCCAGTTTTCATGACCTGAGTTTGACCTCCGCAAAAACTACAACTGTGATGTCCGCCGACCTCCAAAGGTCAAAGTTGAGCAGGAGAGGCGTGTACAGAGGCTGCCTGCGCGGGTGGACAGTAGTGTAGTCATTCAGCACCACACGATTTGGGATTTTTGGTTCAAATCGGACGGAAAGAGGCTCTGTTTTTAAGGCTAGTCTTAAGATTACACTGTAAAAACCCTATCTGCTGGTGTAAAACCAACTCTTGTGAGCTTTAAGATATTTTCTAACGCTGTTACCTCCTCAAAAACACACCTGGAGTTGTGTTTGTGTTTGTTGTTTCATTCACACACGTTTGAGAAGCATTTTATTAATAGTCTGTCTACATCTCCAAAGCTCCAAATGCTTTGTTCCACCTTGTAGTTTTCAAGTGAACAGCTCATTTTACCTTTAGTTCAGTAGAGATTGGCAATTCCAGGGCTGAAATGATCCAAATGATTCTAGTGAAGCTGTGAACAGTTTAAAAACGCAGTGGAGCACTTCCTGTATTACCACATGACCTCACAAGGTGGAATTGAGTGTTTTCTGTCTGAGAGAAGAACTCAGCCTAAATGTGCAGGGTTTGTGTGTTAAACATGTGTGAATGAAACAAAACACAACTCCAGTGTCCCGAATGTCCACACTTTGCTCGACTTCGGGGTCACGCCATTTTTACTGGCGTCCAAATGTCCATGCGGTGAAAACGTATTGTATTCAAAATTTCCCACAATGCATCTTGGAAAGAAGAGGGTATCGGTGGTCACTAGAGCAGTCAATATAGACCACAGTGCACTGGGAGAGTCGGGAAAACAACAGCGTACAGATGTTTAACTGGACACAACATGACTGAATGAAGCAGACATAAGTGCTGGTTTATGGTTCTGATCCTGAGTCTGAATAAAACACTCATTATCTGTTTACTTTAGATGTTAAAAGAGCGAAAATGTCCACATTTCAGACAAAAATCAAATAATCCAGTCCGTTAACGTGAAATCCAGAGTCACAAAAATGGATATGATTATTAATAGTCCTTAAACATGTGAAACATCTGATCTGATCTTTATTTATGACAGAAATCAAGTTTTATCAAAGTTTAGTTTTAACTTTTTTTCACCCAAACACCAGAGTCACGTGACCCGGATGTAGTGAGCTGCGTGTCCGAATCTCTCTGTGAATGAGTGCACTGTAGAGGGTAGTGTCGTAGTACTCAAGACCGGGCTCGGCCTTTTCTTTGGGGTCTTTGTCTCATCTCGGACTCGACTGCGTTTCGATTTCGCTCTTGTCTCGGTTTTGAAGGCGTGTGGACTCGGTCTTGTCTCAGTCTTGAAGGTGCTTGGACTCGGTCTCGTCTCGGTCTCGTCTCGGTCTTGTCTCGGTCTTGAAGGTGCTTGGACTCGGTCTTGTTCTCGGTCTCGTCTCGGTCTTGTCTCGGTCTTGAAGGCACTTGGACTCGGTCTTGTCTCGGTCTTGAAGGCGCATGGATTCGGTCTTGTCTTGGTCTTGTTCTCGGTCTCGTCTCGGTCTTGAAGGCGCATGGACTCGGTCTTGTCTCGGTCTTGAAGGCGTGTGGACTCGGTCTTGTTTCGGTCTTAAAGGCGTGTGGACTCGGTCTTGTCTCGGTCTTGAAGGCGTGTGGACTCGGTCTGGTCTCGGTCTTGAAGGCGTGTGGACTCGGTCTTGTTCTCGGTCTCGTCTCGGTCTTGAAGGCGTGTGGACTCGGTCTTGTTCTCGGTCTCGTCTCGGTCTTGAAGGCGTGTGGACTCGGTCTTGTCTCGGTCTTGAAGGCGTGTGGACTCGGTCTGGTCTCTCTGGTCTCAGTCTTGAAGGCGCTTGGACTCGGTCTTATTCTCGGTCTCGTCTCGGTCTTGAAAGGCGTGTGACTCGGTCTGTCTCGGTCTTGAAGGCGTGTGGACTCGGTCTTGTCTGTCTCGTCTCGTCTTGAAGGCGTGTGGACTTGTCGGTCTGTGGACTCGTCTTGTCTCGGTCTTGAAGGCGTGTGGACTCGGTCTTGTCTCGGTCTGAAGGCGTGTGGACTCGGTCTTGTCTCGGTCTTGAAGGCGTGTGGACTCGGTCTCGTCTCGGTCTTGAAGGCGTGTGGACTCGGTCTCGTCTCGGTCTTGAAGGCGTGTGGACTCGGTCTCGTCTCGGTCTTGAAGGCGTGTGGACTCGGTCTTGTTCTCGGTCTTGAAGGCGTGTGGACTCGTCTTGTTCTCGGTCTGAAGGCGTGTGGACTCGGTCTTGTTCTCGTCTTGAAGGCGTGTGGACTCGGTCTTCTCGGTCTTGAAGGCGTGTGGACTCGGTCTGTTCTCGGTCTGAAGCGTGTGGACTCGTGTGGACTCGTCTTGTCTCGTCTCGGACTCGGTCTGTTCTCGGTCTTGAAGGCGTGTGGACTCGGTCTGGTCTCGGTCTTGAAGGCGTGTGGACTCGGTCTTGTTCTCGGTCTTGAAGGCGTGTGGACTCGGTCTCGTTCTCGGTCTTGAAGGCGTGTGGACTCGGTCTCGTCTCGGTCTTGAAGGCGTGTGGACTCGGTCTTGTTCTCGGTCTTGAAGGCGTGTGGACTCAGTCTTGAGGTCTGACACTCGAGTGATAAAATGAAGATAGATTTATTAAAAACAATGAAATATATGTGCCAAAATAACTCTAAAATACACATAAATGTTGAACATGACAAAGATGGTCTTGATTTAGTCTCAAAAGGCCATAGTGTTAGTTTTGCCTTGGTCTCGATCCTCAGAGCCTCAGGTCTCGTCCTGGTCTCGGGACCCTGTGGTCTTGGACAGGTCTTGACTACAGCAGTAGTAGAGGACGCTAAAGAGTGCGGGCCTCTGTAGTGAGAGAGTGGTCAGGGACTAGTGTGGACATTCGGACACAGCTCAGATCTGTTTGTGAGGAGGAAACTGCATTAGAACCCTGCAAAAAAAAACTGTAAGAGTAGTTCTTTAATCCATTTTTTAAAAGCTGGGTTTATTTTACATTTAATTTATCAATACAGACATTATTATTTGCTTAAACGATCTGTCTGGACTTTGTATTTTACTTTGTAAATTTACACTAAAGACGCACTATGTAACTTTTCTGGCGGGGGGGGGGGGGTTTAAGTCGTGTCTGGTGATGTTCCACACTTTTTGACACTTGTCTATAGAAACGTGCGTCCTTACTGTGAGCGGGCTTGCATCTCCACAAACCTGATTCTTATTTCACTGTTTCCATGGAAATGTTGGTTTGCTGTAATGTTCCACCGTATGGCATAAAACACATCCTTTTCCGTTCTGTTCCAAACTGTGATTTTATCTCCAGGTGACGTGACACCTCCAGAAGGTTCCATACTGCACCTTTAAGCAATAAAATCACCTGTGAAAGAAGAAATGCAAGAGATGTTTAATGCTGTACTTTGGAGCATTAAGCAGTGACCTTCCACCACAGAAAGTTAAATTGTGCCTTTTGAAATACATTGAAACCAGTCTGAAAAAATTAATTGAATTCACTTTTTATTTGCCAAAACTGCTCAAAATTAAATCCGTTTTGAATTTCATTTCATTTTTCCTTGCAGATATTGTTTTTGCAGTGTAGTGAAGGTAGTGTTTCTGTGCGTTTTGTTCATGTGTTTTGGTTCCTTTTAGGGGAGGGGAGAGGGAGGGAGAGGGAGGGAGGGGGGTCAGGGTAAGGGGGGGATGTACATTGATGTGTTAGGACTTTATTTACAGCGCTTTTTTTTTTTTTGACCCAAGAGTTAAAAGAGGAGACTGATCATGCAGGTCTTTTTGTAGATTTAACATGTGCTTTAATGTTGTTGAACCTTTGAATAAAAACAGAAAATCACTCTCCTCCAGTGTTTTCTGATTATGGCTCAAGCTCATGTGACAGTAACTTTTATATTTTTTATATCTCAGTAGTGTTAAAGGAGCTGTGTGTCGTCTGTGCTCTTACCGTTTCTAAAAGGTTCCTCACTCACCCTCCTCTTGTGTTTCCAGAGCCTTCACCTGCACACACACACATCCTGTATTTGTCTCATTCTCAGTTTATGTTCAGGCCTCATGTGAAGCTCATGAACCTCCAGAATTCCCTCCCTGAGCTGCAGCGGCTGCACTAGCACTGAGAGAGTCATGTAAGGCTCAATCTGCTTTCTGATTGGAGAATCGTCTGGAACCAAAACTCCAAATTAGAACAGAAATAAATGAGACGTCCAATGTTTTGTGATTAAGAATAAAACAGCATTACAGTTGTTACCAGTAAAAGATATTTGATTTGAATGTTTACCTCGTACCTGGGGACACAGAGTTATGAGTTTATGAAATTTTAAATCAAAATCTACATAAAGTTTAAGTACTGTTACACGTCTCCTCCAACCCCAAGGTTCATGGTTTCTTTATTAGTATGCGAGGATCAATTTGTTTGCAGATCTCAGCAGTCCAAAACATTAAAATAAAACTCAGACGCATCAGGCCTCACACCAGTGTCCCACAGACTTCAAATGTCCCAGTCCACTTTGGCAAATTCCACCTGGGTAACACTTTATAATAACTACACCTTATTTAGCCTTAATAAAGCATGAACAAAGACTTAATTAATAATGATTCATGCTTAGTAACTACTTAATTACTACCTGAATTAGCACTTAACTTGCACTTAATTCACCTGTGCTGTAAATAGTTACTCAATACTTCTCATGAACTAACCATTTGCATGTTTACAAATGCATATTTAAGTTCACATTTGAGCATTTATTAATGATTAATAAGCTATGAGAATGATTTACTAATAATGTAATACAATGATCATTCAGGCAGCTGTTATCTGTTAAGTCTTTCTGAGAGCTTTTCTAAAGTGAAGACTAATTATGCTTTATTAAGCATAGTGCTGTCATGCGATTAAAAAAATTGAGAGATTAATTATGATCTGTAATTAATTAATCTAATTAATCAAATTTTAATCTCACCTAAAAATTGCTGAGAAAAGCTTCAACTTGAGGTATTTTCATTTAAATTCATTATTACATTATTGTGGCAGATCAAAAGACTGATATAGAACAAAAAAAAGTGACTTTATAAAGTCATTTATTGTTTAACAAATCTCTCCAAATTGGTTGTTGAGCCCAAGTCTCCATGAATAAGAAACTGTTTGCTGTAAAGTAGCAAAGACGAGGAAATCTGAACATAATAACTTTTGTCTACTTAAAGACAATAAAAAGTCCAGTCTTTCCTTAACCAGATTAAAAATATTATTGATAGAGAAATGCTTTATATATGAGATCACTGGTTTTAGTCCTTGTTTTAGTCCTGGTTTAGACCTGCTTTTAGTCCTAGTTTTAGTCCTAGTTTAGTCCTGGAATGGTGTTAGTCCTGGTTTTTAGTCCTGGTTTAGTTCTGGTTTAGTCCTTGGTTTAGTCCTGGTTTAGACCTGGTTTAGACCTGGTTTTAGTCCTTGTTTAGTCCTGGTTTAGTCCTGGACTGGGTTAGTCCCGGTTTTAGTCTTGGTGTTAGTTCTGGTTTAGAGACGCACAGGAGGAAGCGCGGTTTACACAGCGTACGCAAGAAAACACGATCCACACGCGGCTCACGGGAGCACGTCGGTGTCCACGTAGTGTCTACGGAAGGAAACGTGGTCCGCGCGTTCTCAGGTTAATGACGATGATGAAGGTGTGTGTTTGTGTGTGTGTGTGTTTGTGTTTGTGTGTGTTTGTGTGCGTGTCCCCTCATGTGGCGGGTCATTATAGGACAGTAGTGCAGACATCATGAGTCTATGCAGGTTGTTTTCACCAGTGACATTTAAGTTGTAGGTGATTTTATATTTGTTATTTTCTTTTATATTTCACGTCAGGAGAAGAATTTCCAAGACACAAATGTGTTTTTACCTGAGCACTGTTGACTCTGTTCTACTGGCTCTACGACCTCGTCCATTGTGTGACTGATGCCGCCAACGTTAACATGACGTTTACATCGCTCTTACTGCGCGCGTTTTGTGTGGGTTTCCGGCAATGAGTGGAATTACCGAAATAAAAAAAATATATAAATGTTTTTTTTTTTTGTGTGTGTGTGTTGTTGTCCCAACAACACATAAAAACAGATTTTATAATAAAGCAACTCGCATACAGAAACAGTAAAGTTAGAGATTAAAAATGAGATTAACGCGATTAAAAAACATAACGCGCTAAATATGACTGTAATTAATTAATCGCAATTAACGCGATAATGTGACACCCCTAATTAAGCATTTGTTAAGGTTCGTCAAATTCCAGAGAAACAATAATGGATTACTAGTAAATCATTCTCTCATGGTTTACTAATCATTAATAAATGCTGAAATTTGTACTTAAATATACATTTACAAATGCACACACAAATTGTTAGTTCGTGAGTAATTAAGTAAGAAATACTTATGAGTAACTATTTACAGCACAGGTGAATTAAGTGCAAGTTAAGTGCTAATTCAGGTAGTAATTAAGTAGTTACTAAGCGTGAATCATTATTAATTAAGTCTTTATTTCATGCTTTATTAAGACTAAATAAGGTGTAGTTATTATAAAGTGTCACCTCCACCTGGACCTAGTGTTTAGTTTTTCCATATAGTTCTGTCCGGAGCACTGAAGCTGCAGCTCCTGGTGCAGTGGATGTATTGGGTGCAGTGCGTGCAGTGGTTGCAGTGCGTGCAGTGGATGTATTGGGTGCAGTGCGTGCAGTGGTTGCAGTGCGTGCAGTGGATGTATTGGGCGTGTTGTTACCTGAACTCATGAACTACACAAAGTTGTCACTAGAGGGCGCCAGAGTATTTCAGTGGTGAGTTCTCAGGTTTAGACCATGAATCTTTTAAGACTTTTCTACACTTCGTGGTTTGGACTGAAACCTCCAATCAAATCAAAC